CCAGCGCCGATCCGAGAAATCCGCGCGGACCTCCGAGTTTGTATGATTATGTCACTGCTCGTTTCCCTGAATCGAGCCTGAGCTGTTTCTCCTGGTAGCTGTGTATGATTCCGCTCTCGACCAGTCTGCCGAAGGTCACACGGCCACGGGGCCTGCTGCCGCAGAGCTGGTCGAAGATGGCGCGGAGGCCGTCCAGCTCTTCCCTCGGCAGAACTGGCGGCGGCCGTATCTTGGCCCGCGCGGTAGCCTGCTCGATGTGCTTGCACCAGCTTCCCATCTCGTGCAAGTCGTTCGAGGTGCAGCCAGGCCAGATCAGCTTCATGAGATCCTCGATCCTAAACTTCGACTTCGTGTGAAGCAGCAGGCGCTCGACTTTGTAGCACAGAGCGTGGCAGAACTCGGTGTGCACGGAGGTATACGCCTTCCTGACAGGTGACTTTGGCGAGGCAGTGCCGATCATGCAATTGACGTTCGCATACACAAACTTCTGGAACGTCTTGCTGTCGACCTGCCCCGTCTTATCGGCGTCAAGGCTTGCCCACATCGAGAGCAAGACCGATACTTCTTCAGTGGTTCCGATCGGCTCCTTGAAAATGGCCTCCTCGTCGCCCTGAGCCACGACCCAGCCGCCAGTGAGGCCGCCCAAAACGAACACGCGCAGCAGCTTGCAAGCCTCCTTCCACAGGGGTAGCTGCTTCCTGGCGTGGACGACCTGCATCATGGCAGCCTCCCATCCACATTCGGCAATCCTCTGCTTCCACAGCTGCGAGTAGTCGTGGACCCTCGAGAGCCTCTTGCCGAGGCTCGCAGACGCGGGCCTCGGCCTGCCGCTCCCCGTGGTGCCCTCCTCGTCCTCCTCGCCCCTCTCCTGCCCCTGCTCCGCCTCACCCCCCTCGCCCGCGGCCTCCCCGCCCGTCGGGGAACCCTCCGCGGCCTCGTCGCCCTGCGGAGCCCACGCGGCCCCTCCGCCCCCGCCGACGCCGCGCGACTCGGCGGCGCTGCCCCGCCGCAGCGCGCCGAGGGCGGCCAGCGCCCTGCCGGAGCGGCGAGCCGCCCGGGCGCCGGCGGCCTCGGCCGGCCCCCGGGGCCGGGCAGCCCCCGCCGCCTCGGCGGCGTAGCCGCTCGGCTGCCCCGACCCGGCGGCGTGCGGGCGCGGGGAGGGGCCGGGTCCGACCAGCCCCCTGCGCTCGCTGGTGCCGTCCTCGGTGTCTTGAAATCAAAAGCCTTTTTTGAAGTCAAAGAGCAATTCAAAAACCAGTTTTTGCAATTCACAAGCAATGTTTCCTTGAATTGACAAACCAATTCTCTGAATTCGAAAACCAAGCTCGCTGGTGCCGTCCTTCATCCTCTGGGCCAGGCTCAGCAGGTTGCCCCGCAGGGTGCCGCTGCAGAGCTCGGCGACGTCCTGCACGCGGGCGCGCCGGGCCGTCGGCGACCCGTCCTGGTGCGGGCGCCTGGTGACCCGCGCAGACAGGCCGCAGTCGCGCAGCGCAGCCGCGCGCCGCACGGCCTCGCGCCGAGATTCGCACTCGGCCACCACGGCGTAGCCGAGCCGCCGGGCTTCGTCAACGAGGTCGTCGGCGGCAGACGCCTCCAGCCCCAAGGCCTGCTCGACGGCGGCGGAGCCATGCGCAGAAGAAGGGACAAACACATGACCAGAAACTTTCAGAACTCCGCGCGGACTTCCTGGATCGGCGCTGGACCCCCCACCCACCCTCCCCAGCGCGCGGAGAGCGCGCCAAAGGCGGCGCTGGAGGCGCCGCCAGGGGGCGCCCCAGGCGCCGGCCTGAGAACTCCGCGCGGAGCTCCGAAGGCTTATGGCCACGTGCTCGCCTCTTCTCCGGGTGCGGCCTGAAGTCGCCGTCGTCGCCGCGGGGGGTGCCGCCGCGCTGGGGGGTGGCGCCGCGGCGGCTCTCGCGGGCGGCGTCGTCGTCCCGCGGGCGGGCCTGGAGGGGCCGCCCGGTGGGCGGCGGGAGCGTGGCCAGCGGCAGGAGCTCCTCTTGACGTCG